ATCAGGTGGGGTCAATGTTGCGCTTTTTAAAAAAGCTGCACTCTTCAGAACGTGGTAACATAAAAATCCTCATAGACCACAACATCAGCTTGCCAAGGCACTGACTGTATGCAGTTGTGGATTAAAAACTGCAGAACGTCATAAGCATACTAGGACTGCATATCACCACAAAGCAAGAGAAAGCAGTTTGCAAAATTCATGAACAAAATCTCACTCAAGAGACAGAGGCTTTCTTCTTGGTGAAAATACGCCTCTTTCAATCACAAATATAACTCATTCTGTACAAAGGAGATATGGACTATGACCTGGCTTGATGAATTTGTTTATTGTCAGGGATCGACATACTTGTAGTTACAAAATGTTCTGATTCACTGTCCTAAGAGGAGCTGCTGCAATGACCGAAGTGGCTACTGCTTCTTCACCAGCTAATGGAGATGACCATCCCAATATTACAACAAAGAGCCAACTGAGTCCATTCCTCAGTTAACAGCTGCCTATCCCAGTGTATTAACACAAATCACCCCTCATTCAGTTTATGTGTTTTAGACTATGGCAGCTGGTCACCTGCGCCTTGCTCACACCCACCCATCCTGCAGGCCATGCCACAAGCGGCAGAGAAGCTGTGGCAACTGCTGTGAGCAGGAAAAATGCCAGCTGCTAGACTTAATGACCACCTGAAAGCATGAGTCAGCTCTAATGCAACAGATTCTTTAGTACAACTCTGAATTTCTTCTCATTCCATAAAAGTGATTGAGCACCTTTTATAACATGTAATCCTTCTTAAAGATAAAAAATGCTACAAAAGTGTACCTCAGGCAATGAATTTCCCAGTTTCACCAACTTTAAGAACTTGCCTGTAATGTCTATTTGATATACTAGCAAGTTCAAAAAACATTAAAACATTCAGAAGCTGTTCAGTCTTCAATGTTTGGAGAAGCACATGAAAGAGACCTGATTTTCCTGTATCTCAGACAGCTTTGTCAAATACCCATACAAGAGGATACAGCAGTAGATTGTAATAAGTCATCTGAAGTTTGTCATAAAAAGTACTTAAGTCTTCTGCTGGAGCGCAAAAATTGCCACAAAGTCAGATCAAAGGCATGCTGAGATGCCAGAACAATATGACTAATTGTTCTTTTTTTGTCTCGCTATATAAAAAGAAGCTTGATCTTATACTCAGTAATATTTATTAAGACCATGTGACTAGAGGCCATTCCAGTTTGCTGACCCCTTTTTTGGCTTTGCATACAGGGAAGTATACTGCCTGTGTCTTCGGGCACTTCCTATCTGATAGGAAGAAACATATGGATAGAGAAGCAGCAGCGAACAAACTGTTTTGAACCTGTTTACAGATTAGAGTTTTACTTGCCCAAATCAACTAGCTGCATAAATATTTGCTGTAATAGATATTAATGCCAATGTACATGGCTCCGGTAGAAGAATCATAAACACTCGTATCTTAATACTATATCGTTATTCTCACATCTGCAGCTAATGGGTACAAATAACTCAGTAATTACAAAATTTCAAACTACTAAGTGCTTCAGCTGTACTAAGAAACAATATTTCAATAATTAACTGTTCTCAAAATCAGGTTAAATAAACAAGATGTGATGACAAATAATTATAGTTTAAGACTGCAACAGATGAAATTATTCTGATGGGAAGGAGGGATCCAGCTGTAAAGCTTTGACATTTTTCCACTCAAGCTACCCATAAACAAGCAAGAGAACCCTGGTATCAAGGGCGGTATAAAGCTGCTTGGAATATTATATGAAGTGAAGATAAAGAAGACGCTCTTTAAACTTGCAGTCTGAGAAAAGACTTCTAAATACCATGATGACAAGCCTGGAATTGTTAGCAACTTTCGCAGATGAGAGAAGACATCTGAAAAGGGAAATACAGCATTATTTGGTGTCCTGAGATGTGCAAAACATGGCACACGCTGGAACCAGTGATGGCGCATCAGTGCCGTGGAAAGAACCCTGGCTCTAATTTGGAGTCACATGCCAACCAACCATGAGTCGAATGTGGCAGCCGTTGAGAACCAGGAAGGCATCATGCTTAGGTACTTGAGTGGAAGGAGAGACTACAAGATACATGAATTAGCTCCAGCACCAGCTCAGCAGAAGTAATGATTCATCTGGACAAACGTCCTAGTTTTGGGTCCCCAGTTTCAAGAAAGATGTGGACTAGCTGAAAAGAATCCAAAGAGAATAAGAATGTGATCAAAGGCTTAGAAAACACGACTTACCAGGAAAGATTAAATGGATTAGGCATTTTCTAGCCTAGAAGAAAAGGGAACTGAGGGTGGACATAATAACAGACTCAAAGTATATAATAGATTTCTTCAAAAAAGAAAGAGGAATAATTTATTTTCTATGGCCATGATGAGCAGGAAAAAAAGTTAATGTACTTCAATTGCAGCAAGAAATATCTGGTTTAGCTATGACCAATAATACTGCCCCTGACTTCCTACATTTCTTGTATTTAGGATACTGAAGCAATACATTTCCTAGCAGGCTGTGAAGTATTCATTTTTGCAGGTTTTTGGAAACAAGTTAGACAAGCATATCGTAGCAATGACTTAGGTATAGCTCCTTCTGTCTTAAGAATACATTAGATATCTTTCTGAGATCCCTTGCAGTCCTATGGGGCTATGATAATCAAAACTTATCTCTCATTCATTACTCATATATAAACCCTCAAGTTTAGGAAGGTCATGTATCTCTGATAACCAGCTGCGACATATCAAATACGCTCTTTTCATCACAGCCCTTCTGGGATGAGCTTCCCATGAACTGCTACACCAAGTAATGCGTCACGCTTCTGCAAAATATCCTTAATGTTTACAAAGGCTCAATAACACTTCACTTGCTAGTGCGCTAATGCTGGCATCTGAGACATTTGTAGATATTGCCACCTGAATTTCCACATATACGACTATATCTGCTTTCTGTTTCATTAAATGCGTTATGTTTTGACTGAGTGCTCTTTGGGGCAGGGTTTATCGCTTAGTTCTTAATACGAACAGTGCTAAGTTCAATAAAGTCTCCCTCATCTGTGAACGTTAGCTGCCATGGTACTGCAAACAATAATGACACAATGTGCTAACAAACCAACACAGCAGGGTGCTATGGGAAAGAACTGAGATTAATTTCAATGTGACTGGCCATGTAGCAGACAGTATTTGCAGATGGTTTGGTGTCACTTTTGTCTGGGATCTTTCCATGGAAAATCCTGCATCAGCACGGTATGTTGGTGGTTAGTGCACAGTGGTTCCTATTCACCCACAGAAGATACTTTCTTATTTATCTGGCTCTTCCTGAAACGGTTTACGGATTCAGGACCCAAAAAAAAAAAAAAAGTAATTTTAAACTTGTTACAGCCTTTGTAAATTATTTGTAATTTGTAAAGTACCCACCAATAAAACAATATTAACTGTAAAGGATAATGGTGACTTTCAAGATAGATACTGAGTATATTCCCACTTTCTGGTTCGAATTGGTTATAATCCAGCCTTCACCCTGAAGTGACTTGATCTCATGAAGCATCAACCAGCCTAACAAATAGTGCTTTGGCTGGAGAGATTTTGTCTTTTGAAGTTATAGAATTTACTTTTCATGACACCAAGGTCTCTGTACATATCCCCATATTCCTCTTTATAAAGCACCTAAGATCAGTTACATCTTCCACATTCTTCTGTTTAAATCCACATTGCTTTCTAGCTCTGTGAGTGCAGGGAACCATCACGATTATTCTCTGCTTCCCATTTCTCTTCCAGCTTCATGTCAGTATCCCTGAATCCTATCTTATAGGTTGCATCATTAACTAAAATAATGGCCATGCTGAGTCAAAACAAAAGTCCACTTCATTTGGCACTGTTTCTAACAGGGGTCTAGAGCAGACCTACAGGAGCACAAGAGCACAACAGGCAAGTTTGCAGGGACACCTGTAGAATAAACTCCAAGGCAAACGTGACACCTTTCTTAAAATAGCCTAGGAGTGGGTTATATTCCCTCGTCCTGTGCCTTCAGAATAATGTCAGGGGTAATTTAACAAGTAAGTCTACATGTAATTTTATGGGCTATAACTAAGTACATTCAGGATCACTTCTGCAATGCAAGGAGGTCCCAAAACTTCTTTTCACAACCCTATCCCATAAAAATTCAAAAGTAGGCATGCAAAGTGTTCATTGATCAGGAAGTCAGTAAGACAGAGCTGTTCAGTGTGGAGCCTACAACCCAAACGGAAGGTGGCTATCAGAAGTACAGTATTTCCACAGGTAGTGAGCGCTCTTCTTGGGAAATGAACATGGTGCACTCGGGAAGTTCACTGGTCACTATCTAAAATTAAGAATTCTGAGTGGAATATATAACAAACATAGATGAATCAGGCACTTCTGAGCAGAAATATCTGAAGATGGAACACGGCGATTAATCAAAAACTACACTAATAAGTAATAAAACTTGTTTTGTTCACTTTTACATGCCAGTGACCTGGAAGAAGGAATTTGCAAAACGGTCATGAATTTGGTGGCTAAACAGATCTGGGAAAGGACTGTCTAACAATAGAAGAGTTAAAATTAACAACAATTAATCTGGAAAAGGAATATGGGATAGATGTCCATACATAATTCAGCAGTAAACATGTGACGTGGAGAAATCTAAGAATAAACAAACGATAAGCCTGAAATACCTTAGAACAATACATATAAATATTAAAAGCATGACAGAAAGCCAAATATAAAAGTCTCACATCTGCGCATATATAGCAAGATCGTTTTATCTAGAAACAAACAAAAGAGGCATAACTTCAAAAAGTTACTATACATACTGCTTTCAATGAAGCTAAAGCCAAGCAGAACACATGTAACATTTAAATACAGTAACTATCTACTCATTTTCCTGTGAAGTATATATTTGCTTATAACTGCAAAGTTGGCAAACATGGCCAAACACTGAAAGCACAAGTATCTGTTACTATACGTACACACTTACCCACATGGTCTGTATGTAAATACAATATAACTTTCTTCATCGCTTCGTTCAATAAATGTAACGCACGTGTACTTTTCCCAGTGCCGCATCGCCTGTTTGAACATGGCGCGCTGGGTGCCTGGAAGAATAATTGTATGAGATGAAATAAGAGACTTTTTTAACTGTCTTGTTCCTTAAAATCAGATTTCAATACTAGGAATATAGGCCTGGAAGGAGTCACTGGATCACAAAGTCCTGTGTCCCGGCAGACCCATGTACTGCCAGACTCCAATTAAAGGGATACTCAGACCATCAGGTCATCACACCACATCTGCCTGCAAGGGGACCAATACTGCCTGACATACTCTAGCAAACATAAAACCTGCAATAAAAAGCACACCTATGTTACACCAGAGGAAGACAGCAGAAGAAATATAGTGTTGCTTATGCATCTGCATTAGCATAATATTTGCTAAGCAGTTCCCCAGAGGAAATTATCAAGTGGACCAAGAAAAAGTGAAGAGAGAAAAAGAAAAAAAGAGGAACCCTGGATCCTAGCTATGTAGCCAGAAGAAAAATAGTAATAAAAAAAAAAATCCTACAGCCTTCAAATCTGGAGACCAATTTAACCTAAGCCATTGTAGCAGGCATACCTGTCAAGGCATTTGATTTTAATAATGCTCTCTTGAACAGGGACCATTCTCCACTTGTTTGCGTCAAAATCTTTCAGAAATCAAATGATCCACCAAAAGGGGAAATTCCTCATTTGATACAAGACTATATATAAATACCTAGATACTTGTTTTAGGAACGAGAAACACATTCAGAAATAATCAAAACTATACCCTAGATGCAGCAGCAGCCAGGCCAGTTCTCACCACAGAACACAAAGCCAATGAGTATACAGTACTCCAGATAGTATAAGCAATGTAATTTCATTGCCTGACAAAAAACAAGGCTTATTAACTTAGAGGCAGTGTCTAAGAATATAGCTGTACTGCTTCTGAGCTGGAAATCCACAAAGAACAGTACTATTTGGCATGAATTTGCTAGCAGAAGTAAATCCACCTTGCAGAATTTTGCAAAGATGCATGTTACAGCATAGGATAATTTAAAAAAACCCAAATAATACTTTTTTAAACTTAAAGACAACAAACTCTCAAAGTTCATAAAAATATCAAGTTCAAATCATGTCAGGATCCTAAAAATTAAAGGTTATTTCATCCCATCTTGCCCTTTTCTTTTATCTTTAAGCAATGTTTGCCAAGCTTTAGAATTTATCTTTCATTATGAAACAGGTAAAATGTTTAACATGATATGCTTTCATTAAGTTTACTACCATTATTTCAGAAGATGGTAATCCTAAAGCAAAGGTCACATTCGGTAAAGTCCTATGTAAACACCCAAACTAAAAGTTTGGCTGTAGCTGTCAGTTTGAAAGGAATGACTTCGCTTTCTCTATACACATAAACATACAATGTGTGAGCATTTGTGTGTCTCTTTTGGTTCCCTGTATTATCGTGCACAATAAATAAGATGTTATTACATATCTTTTCCCATCCATCTTTGCTTTTCTCCCTCCTTTTTTGTTTTAAATTACCTCTTACATCCACATTGATATTGATCCATTTACATTTTTCAGGGATAACATATGTTTTAAACTTTTTCTACAGTTTTCTACTAAGAGTTCTATACATTTTGAAGTCAGTCTTTCTTCTTGTCACATATAATGTCTGTGTGTACCCATCTGAAAACCAAACTGAGGAATTAAAAAACACATTTGAGTCAGTCTGTTGAGTGAAATCAGTTTAGCAGAATACATGTCACACCAGTTAAATAAGTTATATTCTTGTGCTAAATATCCTGCATTTTTTTAGAAACAGATTTTGCAACATTCTGTTACTGAGGCTCTTGAAAACAAACATGCAAGAAGAAATATCAGACAAAGAAAAGAGCCTTTCCTTTCTAAAACAGTTATATATTTTTATTATGTAGCTTGCTTCTGGGAACAATTTTTTTGAAGTATGACTAATATTTTCAGAACAGATGTACTTCAAGCCTGATCCAACTGAAACCCTTCTATCGACTTCTATAGTATGACTTGACTTTAAAAAAAATAAAAGCAATTTAAAAAAATCATATTCCTTCTCCCCATCCAAAGCACAAAGCTTACCAGTGAAATTTCCACCTATTACATATGGAATGACACCCCCTGGCCATATTCTTTCTGTTCGTGATGTAGCAGCTCTGGGAAATCGGTTTTTCTCATTTTTCCCTGAGAATTTTACAGTAGTTCTTCCTTTAGATGTATTATTTTGCTCAAAGCCTGTAATGATAATTAAAATACTGAATGAGATCACACACACAAAAAAGAGAACAATTATTTTCCAGCAGGTCAAATTCAGATTATTTCTTTATGCCCTTTAAAAGTAGGACATTGCTGTTATGCAACAGTCTATCATTACTTAGTTTTCTGAGAAATGCTTGAAAGGAAAAGTCTAAATCTCCATTTTTCAAACGTATCTAGAGTAACAATTTGCACATATATTTATCATCTTGAAGGCACATTGCATAATTTTATCTAAATGCTCTCATTTAATAATTGTAATAATTAGAAAAAAAAAACACACTCCCTGTGTACATTTTTTTTAATAAATAGATTTGGGTTTTTCCAGCAAAGAAGGACGGACTTTGGACAGTCCCAAAGTAATTAAGGCATTCACCGTCCCTTTCATTTTTATTGCAAGATCTGGAAAAAGCAAGCGCAGGACCACCCTTAAAGCACTGGACAGAAAGAAGTCCTTAAAGTATTAGATTGGCTTTTATTATCAGAAATTACAAAGGAAAAATAGAAAAATTATTTGCAAAGCTGTATACACATGGAAAAAGTCAGAGAGGGTCATTTGTCCCTCTGATCTCCTCCACCTGTAGCTATTACTAGAAGATACATTTTCAGATTAAAATGCGACTTTCATTTTGATAGTAACCTTACAATACTTCAGGATGCAAATATACGTTTTTTTATAAAAGCTTTTGGAAGCCTATGGTTAAGTATTACTCATGGCTGGAATTTCTTTACGAGACCAAAAAATGTCTACTATTTACACAGTTTCACCATTCATTCCATTACAGGCAAATCTTTCCCAAATCAGCTGAAATTTACTGTGAAAACAGAAGAGGATAATAGTTAGACAAGGACTTGCACACCACGACAGGTGCTTCCCCTGAAGCAATTTATAAGTTACTGTGCACATCAGGGCAGCTGATTAAAACGGATCACTTGAAAGATGGTCAACAAATCCTACTCAGTGGAGTTGAAGTATTATCCCTCATTAGAGAGTACACCTTCCCTCTCCCAGTATCCTTGGTGATACTAGTGCCACCTAAGAGCTAACGGCTATGTCCGAATCAGGGAGGATTCTAGGGCAGGATCACGGCAGGGTACCTTGGCATAGCCCCAGGGCTGGGAGAGCAGAAGGAAAAAAAAAAGGAAGAAGCTAAAGCACAGGGCAGGGAGAAAGCCTTTGATACACGGGAAGAATAACCTGCCTTCGTAAAAAGCAACACGTAACTTAAATTATATCCAGAATGATATAGAAAACTTCAGGGTTTAAAAAAAACACTTGGGTAAAGCATATAACTTATCCTTGTAATTAAATAAGTGTGTAAATTAGAATTACACAACAGTCTACAACACAGGTAGAAACTTTACAGAAAAACTATTGTTATGCTTAATATGCAGTCATTACTGAATGACTTCTCATGTTAATACAGATGTTTTACCATTCACAATTCTTTCTGTCAACCTTCTTTTGAAATACCAGTAAGAAATTTATGCTAAATTTCATGCAAAAGATGACAAGCATTTATGCAACACGAAAATTGTAATTCTCTTATAAAGAATTAAGATTATATAAAGGAGCACTTCTACAAAGGCAGTTTCTGTGCTCTGGTTAATATTACAAGATATGCAGTGATGCATTTAGACATAATGTGGTGTGATTACAACGCAGTTTCACATATTTTCCTTTTTGAGGTTGAGGTTTCATGCCAGTAAAGTGACATGTCCTTGCATCAAATATGGTGAGTAAACTCAACCAGTATTAATGGGGATTCCACTTATATATTCCACTTATATATATACGTTCATACTGACAAGAGTATGCTTAGTATAAAAACGTGTTTGTTCAGTGTAACGCACCATAAACGCTTCAAACACAGTATGAACCATTGGAATACCCCAACTGGATCCAGGAAAAAAAAAGCCATTAAAAAACAAACAAAAAAACCCCTAGCAGCCATGCGGCATAGCCTACCTGTACTGAAAAGACATGGTATTGATATCAGTTGAACTGATAACTGAACACAGCCATTCTAAAAAGCTACCGAATTTTTAATATGAGACCTAAAACTACATATTCTAGCTTCCAGATTTGATGCTGGAAACAGACCTGTAAGAAAATGCAACAAAGCTCTAATCTCTTCATTATTATTCTTGTACTACTTATTTTATGGTTTGTTTATGCTAATAGTAATACAGAAAGGCTTTAAAGCGTTAAAGTACTATCATCATTAATGTTCATGATACATTATCACATCAGGCAACCTGCTAATTTAAACAGTGAAAATACCAGAGCCAAATCTTCTTATCCTGTCTATAAGCTGATAGAGGGCACCTCGTTTTTTTGACATCCCATGCTCTCCAAAGCCACCTTTAAAAAGAAAAGAAACAACAACAATAAAAAAGGAATGTTACAAAAGTTAAACACATTGTATCTTACACCTACAGCTACTATATATAGCCTGGAGAGATCAGAAAATACCCCATAAAAACTGCAATGTGTCTTAAAGGAAATTTAACATTCTTCAATGACTCGCATACAAATTCTTCAAGTATTCTTGACAATGAAATAAAAACACATTTTTAGCTGAAAAATTTTCTAATATGCATTCCAGAATGTAAGCCAACATGTCTTTGTAACTCAGACAAGTCATGACAATTACATCATCTAATTATTATTTGGAGCTTTTTTTCTTCCTGGTGACCTTGACATCCCCAGACCCATATTGATTGACAGCTAAAAGCCTTACTCTCACAGAAATTTCCTGAATGCATGCCATAATCTTCTCATTTCAAGGGAGGGGAAAGAGGGAAAGCAAACACACAAAGTTTCATCGGGAAAAAAAAAAACAACCAACAAACCCACAACAAAACTGATACAAACTTAACAAGGCTGATTTTACCATGAAAGATTTGGTTTCCTTTGTCAGCGTGCAAATAGATGTCCAATGCATTCTAAAGGCTTTGAAATATCACATGCTGGTGCGTATTGCAGTAAGACCTCACAGGCTTATATGTCTGTGTCATCTCAGTAATCAATGAGCAAGAAAAATTAAGCTAATAAAGTAACTGATTTTAACATTTACCATGCCATTTAGAGAAGTGCAACACATTACAGGAATGTGTACCTTTGATGCATCTGCCACATACTCTCTTCACCTGTAATCCTTTTGTGGCTGCAAGTGCCTTCGCAAACAACCAGTAAACCAGAAGAACGAACACTGGTAATACTGCACTAGTCAATAAACCATTCAGAATTGTTCAGAATGTTTTGTGATTTTCAGGAGTTTGTAGCAGGTTGTATTTTAAAATTTAGTATTTGTTATAGGACAAGAGAGCTTTCAAACTACTTTTACAACAGCAAAAAGTTAAACAATAAAAGGACCATTGAAACCTCTAAAAATACCTTTCCCAACTTGCCATAAAAACTTTCAATATACATGAGGAAAATATATTTATTAAACAACAACTCAAAATCATATTACAGATGAGAAAGTTCCATATAAGGAAAATGAGTTTGTGTGGCTGCTCAGTGAATAACAATGTGCCTAATTATTTGGATTACACTGTCACATAGTTGCTAGCTCCCTTGAGAAAAATTTTCCAAATTTTTTAAAACATTTTAGATAGATGAGGTAATAGTTCAACACATTCCTTTCCAACACTATAATATGTACTACAGAGAATATAATAATTCCATTCCTTGTATTGATGATCATTAATGTAATTTTATCTCGTGTTAACATTCATCTTATTAAAAAAGGCATATAGCTAAAGATTCCAAACAAATATTAAAAAAATCCATAAAAGCATTAACTGTCACAGACATAACAGAAAAAAACAAGAACTCCATTATTTACTTAAAGAAACTATTATACTATAATTATTTCTAGAAAAACATATTAAACTATCATTTCTGTGTTAACACAGCCTGTGTATCTCATTTCAGTGAAAAACTAAAGAAGAAAAAGTATCTCACATAGCTAATCTGTCTTATATCAATAATATATAGCCTTGCCAAGCCACAGTCTAAAAATGTTTAAAAAAAAATAATTATATTTGATGCATCTTCTCATACTTCAGGCAGGAGGAGGAGGATACTTTCAGCAATTTGAACTCATAATAATATATACATAAAAATTTTATCAGCTTTACTGTCGTTTCTGTTTACAATGATTGTGTGTGTTGCTTGGACAAAATGACAAATAAAATGACAGAGTCACACTCTGAGAAGGCTCACAGATTAAGTATCTGACCCTGCAAATCCAGGCAGATAATCCTCACCAAAAGGAATAGTCGCATAATGTCAATCAGAGCCTGTGAGCCTCAGGATTTTTCATTGGGAGTTGCAATGAAAATGTGACTCTGCAACTCCATCTTGCTAGCATACACCCAAGTATCCGACCTTTCTACCTGATATCACCTTTAGCTTGCGAAGGTCAACACAAAGTTCTCAGAAACTAAGCTTCTAATTAATTGTCATCGTGTCTGCAACTAAGGTAAAATATGAATTTGTTTTCTCTTGTACAGACATTTCAGTTCCTTTTCCCGTTGCTACCTAATATTAACTAATTAGTTGTTGGCAATTTACTCTTTTGGAAATTAGAGGGGGGAAAAAAAGCACATTAGGCTGTGCAGTTTGCAAAAATAGGCTAAATTCGTAGTTTATGCATCAAAATGCTGTAAATTTAGAAAAATAATTACATATGTAAAGTGTAAAATTGTTTTTTTTCTAGAAACAGGGTTGGAGAACTCAAGAATGTTGAGGGTTCACTGAGAACCATTACAAAATCATTAACTTATGCAGTTTGTTCTCCAAAGTCCAGTCCCACTGACCATTGCAGTTGCTTTGATTCCTCTTGTGTAATAAAGGTAGAAAAATTTGACCCAAATGCATTAGTAATCCTCAATAAGATGACTCAATGTCCTGAATAGGGTACTGTCCATGGGAAAAGATAATGCACAATTCTCAAGACAGGTAAGGAAAGAAAATTAAATAATAGAATAGTAAATATTATTAACAAACAGCTTATAAAGGTATATTCTTTCTGTAGCAACTGAAAAAAAAATAGTTGTGCAGTTCAAAAGAAAAAATAGAAAAGCAAGAAGAAAATGGAAAGTCAGCAGGCCAAAGAAATCACTCGACTGCATCCACTTAAAGGGGAAATGACCGACCTTGCTCTCTACCTTTTGTCAGCAAAGCCAGCGCCTGAAATACCTTCAAAGCCAATTAAAACTATTTGTTTGGGGAAAAGGGGGGCAGGGAAACCACGGACTCTATTAACATTTTAAAATCCAGTCTTGATCTAGACATGATCAAAGGCGTTCCTGCCTTGAAAGAACAAGTGGCTATAAAAGGAGACAAAATAATTTTTCAAGTTGTTATAAAAATAGTCTAATCATGACACCTAACTAGGAAGCGTAAAAATATTTCAAATATATCAATATTGTAATGTTGAATTGAAAATTGCTTCTTTGATCTGAAAAACTCCTTTCTGATCATTACTCCAAGTGATCCTTATTTCCGCATACCAGGAACCATCAAGTTAATAGCAGCTCAGTTCAGGAACATATAGAACATGCTTAACAGAAAATAAATTTTAATTATGCTTATACACGTTTTCTAATAGCATTTTTTTCCACACTTCTCTTAAGTATCTTGGCTTTTTTGGTACCAAAACCTGAAAGTTTACAAATTACAGTTATGAATTTACAAGTCAGAGCCTGAAAGCATAGATATTTTTAGACATCAGACAGATATCCATTTAGACAGAGATTATGTTTTCTCTCACACACACACATATATATTTACACATAAATAATATCTCTTGTCTGAATGTCCAACTGCCTGTGTTAATCAGATTGCAGCTTTTGGCACTAATGCACTGTATGTTAACAACAGCAAGCAAACATATTAAAATTTGACAGATTAATAGTTGCTTTTTAGACAAGACACATTCTAGCAAGGATGGCACCTTCTTGTGTTCCTTCTAGATCTGGGTACAGATTTGGATGGAATTGAAAAAAGAGAGAAAGGAGAGGCTGTAACCCAAGATGCCCAGTCTTGCCTCCAGGATTTCACTTGTATTCTCCATAGGGCACTTGGGCTCTGCTATCGGGAACTCTTAGCGATGAAATCAAAGCTTTGTACAATTTCCTTTCCCACATGACCACCTGCAGAGTGGGACTTACGGTTCCCACTGGCTTCTGCTCTTCAGTTCAAAAAGATATTTTCAATCAGAAATCCCAGAATAAAATTAATGTTTTCGCTTTTTCTCTTTCTTTCCCAAAACCAAAGTTAAACTCATTGTTTAATAACCTTTTAAAATGTAAACTAATATTACTCAGAACGTTAGAGTGACTTTCTACATTTAAAACAGAGATTGCCTTCTATGCAGAAGTAAAGAACAGGAAAAAGAAGTTAAAAGCAAGCTTGAAATATCATACCTGTGTTATGGCCAAGTCTTTCGTTGGAGTGCTGCGTAAGGTCAATCGTCCTGTCAATTTGAAAGATTTTTAAGTCTTCATCATCTAAGGCAATATCTCCCCAAAAGACAGCTTTAAATAAAAAAGAGCTCAATTTAATTAAAGAATTTATTTAGACATTAAAACCAATCTGAAGACTATAATGCCATGTTACAACCCTTGGGAAAATACAAGACAAATATACATTTATATCACATACATTTGCTTCCTGATCTATATTTTTACACAAAGAAAGAAAACTACCTAGAAAAAGACAAATAATTTGTTTCGGTATTCTCCTAAACTCTAAGTCTTTTTAATTTCTTTACACATTGCCTAAATGCAATCATTTAAAGGTAATGTCAATATATTAAGACATTTACAGCATGTGTTGTTTTCTGTAAGTAAATACAACAAAGAATAGAAGACACTGAAACATGTTAACATTTGAAATATGAAGTCAAAAAGATACAGTACTGAAAAAATACAATCTTTACATATCTTAACATCTTCCTGACAATGAGAATTATTTGAAGTAATTTTTATGTTCCAATCAATTTCTATATTACATTACGTTTGCCTCAGAAAATTATCATGCTTATCTGTTTTCTGCTAAACTGAGTGGGAAAAAAAAAAACAAACCCACACTTTATTTTTCATTTTCCTCTTGGTTTATTTGTATGGTTTCCTTTTATAGTTAATCTCACTGTTAGGATTCTTTCAAATACTTTGCTTTTCAAAGCTCTGATCTCCTCCTCCTTTTTAACCTTTCTTTCGCCTTTTTGGTGGGTTTCTTCTTCTCTCTTTTCCTGTTCTCTTTCAGGATCAGGTTTTTCTGTTCAACTTATCTTCCCTAAGCTGCCATCACTACTCAATGAACCAAGATATGGGCCCACTTGCAAGAATTTGGGATCTATAACCTCAGTCTTTCATCTCTGCCTATTTTTGCTGAGATTTTAACCTGAAATTTCCCTGCCAACCCAAACTTATCATTAAAGCTGAACTCAACGGGCCATATCCTCAACTGCTGTGAATGAAGCCAACAGTGCATATACCAATTAACATGAGCTGAAGTGGTTGTTTATTATCTTTATCCAAATTCTTTCCCTTTCCCTTTCTTCACTGCCTCTGTCAATAGCTCTATTATTTGTCACCTCAGAGTCACAAAACCCCTGGGTTCAATCTTGGTGTCATCTTCAACTCTTTCC